TTCACCAAAATTAGAGAATTGAAGATATCATCACGAAATGAATAAATCTGAGAAAGGTCTACATGTAGTATCTATATATGTAATATCAAAGCAATTGAACTATTGGTTTTTAACAAGAAGTCGAAAATATCACTTTTTACAAAAAATGACAAAAATATTCACCAAAATTAGAGAATTGAAGATATCATCACAAAATGAACAAATCTGAGAGAGGTCCACATGTAGTACCTATATATGTAGTATCAAAGCAATTGGACTTGCGGTTTTTAACAAGAAGTCGAAAATATCACTTTTTACCAAAAATGACAAAAATATTCACCAAAATTAGAGAATTGAAGATATCATCACGAAATGAACAAATCTGAGAAAGGTCTACATGTAGTATCTATATATGTAATATCAAAGCAATTGAACTATTGGTTTTTAACAAGAAGTCGCAAATATCACTTTTTACCAAAAATGACAAAAATATTCACCAAAATTAGAGAATTGAAGATATCAACATGAAATGAACAAAACTAAGAGAGGTCTACCCAAGGTACATATACACAAAGTATCAAAGCATTCAGGCTTGTAGTTTTCAAGAAGAAGTCGAAAAAGTAAAACATTGACACGGACGACGACGGACGACGACGACGACGACGACGATGACGGACAATCACTCATATGATAAGCTCCGCTCGAAAAAGTCGACACCGGGGCTAAAAATATACATGTATTCTAAAAGCATTTATTTTCAATAATGTTTCAAATATATTCACTGAGTTCATGAATTTGCCACTGAAACAATGAGTCCTATTATTTATTTTTTTACAGGTTTTAGTGGATTTAATTTAGTGGACTTTACTATTCAGCGAAAATATGGAAATTAAACATTTATCGAACAATGCTTTTGAATTACATGCATAATAGTTGATTTGGATCAACGAAAACATTCTCACAAACAGAAAACAAATATTTCTATGGTATGTAGCACATAACCATATATTATTGAAAAAAAAAATGTTGTGAAGTGAAAACTGACGCATGTGATTACGATGAGCAAAACCTTTTGAGGGGGGTACCAGTGAATATTTTTGTGACTCACTAATTGTAATTTAACATGATTGATTTTTATAGCAGAGTTCACCCATCAGGGAAAATAGCCAAATTTAAACCTTGTGATTAAACAATGCATTTACTGTACATGTGCTATTTGAATAAATTAAGAACTGTGTATAATTCTGTCTCTTTCCCATTATTTTTGGTGTCAGTTTATTTTTGAATTAAAAAATAATTATATAAGTATATGTACGACCTTTGACCCATTATGTACACTGCTTTCACATGACTATGATAATATCACACATAAAAACCACATCAATGAGTCAAAGTGATATTTTCTCAAAACTATAGTTATTGATATTCCATCCGTGTGAAAAAAATCATAGATTTTAAATTAAATACATTTAATTAATACATATAAAGGGCAGTGGTCATCACGCTGCGTCTTTCGATACCCATAAAGCAATGTATTTTTTACAAAGCATGCTAAAATATTTTTTTTTTAAACTAAAATCGAACAAGCGCTGTACATCAGTCACCACGCTTCAAATGCTCAAGAAGAAACATGTGATGTATTGAAATTTAATTTCAGCTAGAACAACGAAGAAAGACAGAGTGAGGGCAAGTAGAGTTCAAAGTCAAGATCAATCACGAGTTTAACCTCCATCTTCAAACACAGTCAGCGCGTATGTGTCAACACTGGACAATACACCCGAGATAGACCCATTTAAATTGATAAAATCCACGAATATAAGTGATGTTGAAGAGACAGTGACAGTTAGAGTGGGTGTGAGCTGTGTGACCTGCGTGCTTCGGAGTACATGTAGTACTAGCCCTGAGTACA